GCTCATTTTTCATCTTCTTCCGAGCTAGAGCAGACGCTCACCGGTGCCCTCCTCCTTCAGCTCGCCCTCATCAGCCTGGCGAAGCACAGCCAACGAGTGTACCTCTTCAATTGGATCAAAAATCCCCTCGATGTCTTCCTTTCAAGGCGGCTACTAGGGCGGCTGCACTCCAACGGACCGCTCATTACAACGGTCAGGGTGGTACTCCACTGCGGTAAGTGAACTTCCTTTTGATTTTCTTTTTGAACTCCTTTTTCTGATTTTTAGCTCCTGTCTTTTTCAGTTCTTCCCCTCACCTCGCTGCTCCTCCTTCGCAGAAGCCACGCCCGCCTCGACCTGGAGGAGATCACTGACCGTCTCGGCCACAGCTCTTCTAGCTCTCTCCTTCTAAATCTCCTCGTCTTCCGCCTCTTTCGCCACCTCTGGTCGGCTCCGATGGCTTTCGCCGCCCAGCTAGTAGCTCTTCCGCTTCTTTTAGATAATTGGCTCGCCGATCAGCCGGCGGTGAACTGGCCCACCGAGGTGAAGCACCTCCTGCTGACCTGGTTCGCCGCCTTCGCCGTCGACGCCCTTCATAAGCTTTATCTGGTTGTGGTTCTCCTCTGGGCAAGTGTCTTTCTCAAGAAGCAGCGGTTGNCACCTCCTGCTGACCTGGTTCGCCGCCTTCGCCGTCGACGCCCTTCATAAGCTTTATCTGGTTGTGGTTCTCCTCTGGGCAAGTGTCTTTCTCAAGAAGCAGCGGTTGGGCTTTAGTTGGTTGCTCTTTGGTAAGAATAAATAAAAGTTAGAATTTTGTAGAAAAAGGTTTTGGACTTATCTTTTATTTTTTCTTGAACTCCAACAAGTCTTCAATNCTCCTCTGGGCAAGTGTCTTTCTCAAGAAGCAGCGGTTGGGCTTTAGTTGGTTGCTCTTTGGTAAGAATAAATAAAAGTTAGAATTTTATAGAAAAAGGTTTTGGACTTACCTTTTAACTTTTTTGAACTCCAACAAGTCTTCAACATCGTCATCTTCCCTGCCAACCTCGCCATCATCTTCGTCTCCGCCTTGCTTCGTGCCCCCATCCTTCCGCTCTTTACACTGCCAATCTACCTTCTCTCCTTTCCGCGCCCCCTTCAGTTCTGGTCGACGACGGTGAGGGAGTTTTAGGGAGTTCAGCTAACAAATCTTTGATCTTGATTTTTGAACCCTTTTCAGCCCTCGACGATAAAGCCAAATGAAAACGGAAGTGGTGGTGGGAGTGGTGCCGGAAGTTCTGACGCCGCCTACTACCACCAGCTGCTACCTCGCCTGACTGAGGCCCTTCGCCGGCAGCGCCTTCTCTGGGACTTTACCCACGCGGGAGAGTTCCTGCTGGCCCGCTACGAGGACCGCCTGCTCTGGCTGCAAGTGCTCGAATCAGGGCACAACTACGTCACCGTCCAGGCGAAGGGCCTCGAGCTGCAGGAAACGAGCTGCCACGCAATTGAAGCGAGTGCCATTGACCATATTTTAGAGATGGCCTTTGGAGCAGGAGAGGAAGGTGGTGGTCACCACCAGAGATCTCGATCTTCAGCCTGTCTCAACNCCGCCTGCTCTGGCTGCAAGTGCTCGAATCAGGGCACAACTACGTCACCGTCCAGGCGAAGGGCCTCGAGCTGCAGGAAACGAGCTGCCACGCAATTGAAGCGAGTGCCATTGATCACATTCTGGAGATGGCCTTCGGAGCAGGAGAAGAAGGTGGCCATCACCAGCGATCTCGCTCTTCCGCCTGTCTCAATAGTCACTTCCTGTATACGGTGGCGCCGGTGATGCGCCTTCCAGTGAAGACGTACTCCGACGCCCGGGCCGTCCTCACGGGAATCATCGACTCGCCGGAAACGTTTCACCGGCTGAAAGCTCTTTTCTGTCAGGTCCTCATTTGGCTNTGAAGACGTACTCCGACGCCCGGGCCGTCCTCACGGGAATCATCGACTCGCCGGAAACGTTTCACCGGCTGAAGGCTCTCTTCTGTCAGGTCCTCATTTGGCTGCTGCTAAGGGGGCGAGTGGAGGCGGCGAGAAAGGCTGAAGAGGAGGAGAAGGAGAAAAGTCGAGGTTCAAAAATAAGTGGGGGCCAAAATAAGAAGAATGGCAGTTTTAGTAAAAAGAATCGGAAGAACGCGGTGGCTGACCTGGAGGCAAATCAAGGAGCTGCTTCTAAACGGGAGTTCAGAAAGCNGGCGGCGAGAAAGGCTGAAGAGGAGGAGGAGAAGGAGAAAAGTCGAGGTTCGAAAATAAGTGGGGGCCAAAATAAGAAGAATGGCAGTTTTAGTAAAAAGAATCGGAAGAATGCGGTGGCTGACTTGGAGGCAAATCAAGGAGCTGCTGCTCCTAAACGGGAGTTCAGAAAGCTTAGCTACGAAGTCCTGCAGCCCACTCTGCAGTGGTCCAACTGGAGTTACCAGTACTCGAGGATGAGGGGCTCGCTGCAGACGCCTTCAAACGGAGGCTCAAAAAGAAGGTCAAATCTTCAGAGCAGTTTGAGCAGCCCAGTGAATGGCTGCACGCTGGAGTGGTTCCAGGAGGCGCTTAAAGTCCACGAAGAAAGTGGAAGTGAAAGTGGCACTTTGCTGAATGTCCACGAGCTCACCTCGCTCAATCTGAGCTACCGCTCGGTGGCCTCGGTCTGCTATGGGCTGCTTTTTAATGAAGGAACTTCCGCAACTCCTTCTTCAGCAGCTCTGCCAACGCTTCCCATTTCCTCCTCGGCTTCACAGGCGCAGACCATCTGTCAGATCTTCAATGGCGAACTGCCGGTGATGTCGGTGACGGGAGGAAGGTCTTTAGCAGATAATCCCGGTGATAATACCACAAATACCCCAGCAGCCTCGGACATTGACCGCAAGTTCTTCGAGGCGAATGGCGACCTGCTGGCGGCCAGTATCCGCGCCGCCCAGTACGCCACCAAAGTGGCCTTTGACTCTGTGATCTTCGGCGCAACCGAGCCACCAACAACGGCTGAGTTGGCCGCCACGCTCCAGGACTTTGACGCCGACTGGCACTTTGGCAGCAGCAGCAAAGCAGATTGGCAGGCCGCTGTGATTGCCGAGAAGGGCCACCTCTTCTCGGTGGGCAAGGATTTGGTCAAGGTGAGTATATCGGTGATAAGATGGTGAAGAAGTTGATAAGATGAGATTCTTCTTTCAACTTTCAATTAGGAAAACTACACCAGTCACTTGTTGACGCTGCAGAGCCTTGACGTCGCCATTTGCAGTCTGAACCGAGCCACCATCGAGGCGATCTGGTCGTCGCTCTCACTGGAGCTCTTCTACCTCACCAATGATGACGAGGAGCGGTACTCCATTCAAGCGCACCAGATTATTCTGAGTAAGATAAAGACAGTTAGCTTTGATTTCGAAATTATCATTGAACATTCTTTTCTTACCTGTCAAACAGGAAACCTTACCGTTCAGGCGGCCGATCCGCCACTGGGCTACCCGCTCTACGCCTCTGAGCCGATCATCATCAATCATTTAACGTGATTTTAAAAGATAAAGAAAGAAAGTTTGCCACTTACCTTCCAAATCTTGTCTTGAATCTTGAGTTTGCCTTTACTTTTACTTTTTCTGTACTGTCAAAAAAGTGATTTTTTAAATAAAAACAAAAACTTGCCGTAAGCAAGCGCGTGCGGCAAAGCCGATGCGGGGAAAAGTTCCCGGCAAGCAAGCCACATGGCAGCGTGCTCTCAGCTGCTTTCCAGTCTGTGTTTGTTGCTGTGTGTTTTGTGATTGCCCGTTTCTAAATTCTGGTTCCAAAAGAAAGATTCCACCCAATTCTTTCACTTTGATTTGGTGATCATTGCCATCACCATCATCATCAATATCGTCTAGTAGAGAAATAGTGCCTCAAAATGCGCGTCGAANTATCATCATCAATATCGTCTAGTAGAGAAGTAGTGCCTCAAAATGCGCGTCGAGAAGTGCTACTTCTGCTCGAAGCCCGTCTACCCGGGCCACGGCATTCAGTTTGTCCGCAATGACTGCAAGGTTCGCTTTCTATTTCTTGTTTTCTTATATCAACTCTAATCTTTACCACTACCACAACCAGGTATTCCGCTTCTGCGCCTCCAAGTGCCACAAGAATTTCAAGCACAAGTGCAACCCGCGGCGAAAGCGCTGGACAAAGGCCTTCCGCAAGGCCAACGGCAAGGAGCTGACGGTGGACGCCACCTTCGAATTCGAAAAGCACCGCCACGCACCTGCCAAGTACTCTCGCACACTCTTCAGCAAGT